CTGTAGACATTTACTAAAAAAGAGAAGAAGAAAAACTTTATAAAACTGGGATGCTTGAATGTGCGTGGATGTAGTGCAGATGACAGAAACAGATGATTGCTGATGTTATGAATGAAAAGAAGTTGGATGTCCTGGCCCTAAGCGAAACAAAGCTGAAGGGGGTAGGGGAGTTTCGGTGGGGGGAAATAAATGGGATTAAATCTGGAGTATCTGAGAGAGTTAGAGCAAAGGAAGGGGTAGCAGTAATGTTGAAGGATCAGTTATGGAAGGAAAAAGAGAATATGAATGTGTAAATTCAAGAATTATGTGGATTAAAGTAAAGGTTGGATGCGAGAAGTGGGTCATAATAAGTGTGTATGCACCTGGAGAAGAGAGGAATGCAGAGGAGTGAGAGATTTTGGGAGATGTTAAGTGAATGTATAGGAGCCTTTGAACCAAGTGAGAGAGTAATTGTGGTAGGGGACCTGAATGCTAAAGTAGGAGAAACTTTTAGAGAGGGTGTGGTAGGTAAGTTTGGGGTGCCAGGTGTAAATGATAATGGGAGCCCTTTGATTGAACTTTGTATTGAAAGGGGTTTAGTTATAGGTAATACATATTTTAAGAAAAAGAGGATAAATAAGTATACAAGATATGATGTAGGGCGAAATGACAGTAGTTTGTTGGATTATGTATTGGTAGATAAAAGACTGTTGAGTAGACTTCAGGATGCACATGTTTATAGAGGGGCCACAGATATATCAGATCACTTTCTAGTTGTAGCTACACTGAGAGTAAAAGGTAGATGGGATACAAGGAAAATAGAAGCATCAGGGAAGAGAGAGGTGAAGGTTTATAAACTAAAAGAGGAGGCAGTTAGGGTAAGATATAAACAGCTATTGGACGATAGATGGGCTAATGAGAGCATAGGCAATGGGGTTGAAGAGGTATGGGGTAGGTTTAAAAATGTAGTGTTAGAGTGTTCAGCAGAAGTTTGTGGTTACAGGAAAGTGGGTGCGGGAGGGAAGAGGAGCGATTGGTGGAATGATGATGTAAAGATAGTAGTAAGGGAGAAAAAGTTAGCACATGAGAAGTTTTTACAAAGTAGAAGTGATGCAAGGAGGGAAGAGTATATGGAGAAAAAGAGAGAGGTTAAGAGAGTGGTGTAGCAATGTAAAAAGAGAGCAAATGAGAGAGTGGGTGAGATGTTATCAACAAATTTTGTTGAAAATAAGAAAAAGTTTTGGAGTGAGATTAACAAGTTAAGAAAGCCTAGAGAACAAATGGATTTGTCAGTTAAAAATAGGAGAGGAGAGTTATTAAATGGAGAGTTAGAGGTATTGGGAAGATGGAGGGAATATTTTGAGGAATTGTTAAATGTTGTTGAAGATAGGGAAGCTTGATTTCGTGTATAGGGCAAGGAGGAATAACATCTTGCAGGAGTGAGGAAGAACCAGTTGTGAGTGTGGGGGAAGTTCGTGAGGCAGTAGGTAAAATGAAAGGGGGTAAAGCAGCCGGGATTGATGGGATAAAGATAGAAATGTTAAAAGCAGGTGGGGATATAGTTTTGGAGTGGTTGGTGCAATTATTTAATAAATGTATGGAAGAGGGTAAGGTACCTAGGGATTGGCAGAGAGCATGCATAGTTCCTTTGTATAAGGGCAAAGGGGATAAAAGAGAGTGCAAAAATTATAGGGGGATAAGTCTGTTGAGTATACCTGGTAAAGTGTATGGTAGAGTTATTATTGAAAGAATTAAGAGTAAGACGGAGAATAGGATAGCAGATGAACAAGGAGGCTTTAGGAAAGGTAGGGGGTGTGTGGACCAGGTGTTTACAGTGAAACATATAAGTGAACAGTATTTAGATAAGGCTAAAGAGGTCTTTGTGGCATTTATGGATTTGGAAAAGGCGTATGACAGGGTGGATAGGGGGGCAATGTGGCAGATGTTGCAGGTGTATGGTGTAGGAGGTAGGTTACTGAAAGCAGTGAAGAGTTTTTACGAGGATAGTGAGGCTCATGTTAGAGTATGTAGGAAAGAGGGAAATTATTTCCCAGTAAAAGTAGGCCTTAGACAAGGATGTGTGATGTCACCATGGTTGTTTAATATATTTATAGATGGGGTTGTAAGAGAAGTAAATGCGAGGGTCTTGGCAAGAGGCGTGGAGTTAAAAGATAAAGAATCACACATAAAGTGGGAGTTGTCACAGTTGCTCTTTGCTGATAACACTGTGCTCTTGGGAGATTCTGAAGAGAAGTTGCAGAGATTGGTGGATGAATTTGGTAGGGTGTGCAAAAGAAGAAAATTAAAAGTGAATACAGGAAAGAGTAAGGTTATGAGGATAACAAAAAGATTAGGTGATGAAAGATTGGATATCAGATTGGAGGGAGAGAGTATGGAGGAGGTGAATGTATTCAGATATTTGGGAGTGGACATGTCAGCGGATGGGTCTATGAAAGATGAGGTGAATCATAGAATTGATGAGGGGAAAAGGGTGGGTGGTGCACTTAGGAGTCTGTGGAGACAAAGAACTTTGTCCTTGGAGGCAAAGAGGGGAATGTATGAGAGTATAGTTTTAACAACGCTCTTATATGGGTGTGAAGGATGGGTGATGAATGTTGCAGCGAGGAGAAGGCTGGAGGCAGTGGAGATGTCATGTCTGAGGGCAATGTGTGGTGTGAATATAATGCAGAGAATTCGTAGTTTGGAAGTTAGGAGGAGGTGCGGGATTGCCAAAACTGTTGTCCAGAGGGCTGAGGAAGGGTTGTTGAGGTGGTTCGGACATGTAGAGAGAATGGAGCGAAACAGAATGACTTCAAGAGTGTATCAGTCTGTAGTGGAAGGAAGGCAGGGTAGGGGTTGGCCTAGGAAAGGTTGGAGGGAGGGGGTAAAGGAGGTTTTGTGTGCGAGGGGCTTGGACTTCCAGCAGTCATGCGTGAGTGTGTTTGATAGGAGTGAATGGAGACAAATGGTTTTTAATACTTGACGTGCTGTTGGAGTGTGAGCAAAGTAACATTTATGAAGGGGTTCAGGGAAACCGGCAGGCCGGACTTGAGTCCTGGAGATGGGAAGTACAGTGCCTGCACTGCAACATTCTGCAACATTAACACCCCTCCTTCCTGCGGAAGGAGGGGTGTTAATGTTGCAGTTTAAAAACTGTAGTGTAAAGCACCCTTCTGGCAAGACAGTGATGGAGTGAATGATGGTGAAAGTTTTTCTTTTTCGGGCCACCCTGCCTTGGTGGGAATCGGCCAGTGTGATAAAAAAAAATAATAATAAATAACATACATGTTATGGTTTAATAACATGTATGTTATTAAATACCATTGCCTCCACCACTGTGTGTCCCTACTACCCTCTCTCCGACCCCCACAACTGGCAGCCAGCCCTCCCACCCATTCATGACTGCATATTAGAATGGCTATTCGGACAGGTATTGAACGATGCCTTCATATGTTTACTCTTGAACGCAGCAAAGAATCAAACATTTCTGCTACTGCTAATAATAATAATAATAATAATAATAATAATAATAATAATAATAATAATAAATATGATAGAATTGAAGAAGGAAATTGTACAAAAATACGAGGGTTGAAGCAATAGTGGAGGGAGTGGTTGACACATCGTCAGTGTGGCTTTGTTTATGCTGGAGTGAGCATTAGTCTCCGTGCTCTTTCAAACATTTCACAATAATTCATTGTGTTTAGTGCTTGTAGATTGAGTGCAACTGGATCGGTTGAGGCAGTAGTTGAGGCAGTGGGTGAGTCAGTGGTTGAGGCTGTGGTATTTAATAACATACATGTTATTACTAATAATAATAATAATAATACGTACATGTTAATAATATGTACTATTATTATTAATAACATATATGTTATTTGATACCACTGCCTCTACCTTGCCTCAACCGCTGCCTCAACCGCTGCCTCAACCACTGCCCTTACCACTGCCTCTACCATTGCCTCACCCGCTGCTTCTACCATTATCTCAACCACTGCCTCACCCACTGCCACAACTGCTGCCTCAACCACTGCCTCAACTGCTGCCTCAACCACTGCCTCTAATATTGCATCAACCGCTGCCTCAACCGCTGCCTCACCCACTGCGTCAATCACTGCCTCAACCACTGCCTCTACCACTCCAGTCACACTCAATCTACAAGCACCAAACTCAATGAATTATTGTAAAATGTTTGGAAGAGTACGGAGACTAATGCCCACTCCAGCATAAACAAAGCCACACTGACGATGTGTCAACCACTCCCTCCACTATTGCTTCAACCCTCGTATTTTTGTACAATTTCCTTCTTCAGTTCTATCGTATTTATTATTATTATTATTATTATTATTATTATTATTATTATTATTATTATTATTATTATTATTATTACTATTGCTATTGTCATTGTTAGCAGTTGCAGAAATGTTTGATTCTTCGCTGTGTTCAAAAGTAAACATGATGTCACCGTCCAATACCTGTTCGAATAGCCATTCCAATATGCAGTCATGAATGGGTTAACATTATAATGTAGTTTAATAGCAAATATTGAACAAATAAAACACCCACCACACAATGGTGGGAGGGCTGGCTGTCAGTTGCACGGGTCAGAGGGAGGGTAGTAGGGACTCGCAGGTGGCGGGAAACTTAAATATGATTTGGCGGCTGGGAATTTAGCGGTTGGGAATTTGCGAATGTGTGAAGAACGCGAATGTTGAGGGAGACCTGTACATGTGTATATGTATGTGTGCATGTGTGGGTTTTTTTTTCCTCAATGCCTGATTCCCACCAAGGAAGAGGAACCAAAAGAAGAAGACATTCACCATTATTCATCTAATCATTGTCCTGCGAGAAGTGTGCTGACACACAGTTACACCAACTAACCAAATATAATTTTTTTTTTCGTACTTCACTGTCAATTTAGAAATTGTCCCGTTTTATGCTAAATCAGTTTATAATGTAACATTCACTGTGTGAGTGTAAATTGTAATCTAAGCCTTAATAACCAGACTGATCTTTTTCAGCTTTATGCAGAAGAGTTGCTCTTCGGTACAGTTTAGCAATAATTGGAATTTGTACTCTAGCACCAGTGACTGATGTTACAACATGGATATTTGCAGTTGATTCACTTCCACTGAATGGTTACCTTGTTTATCTTGGTAAGATTGTCTGCTTTATCTCAGTATAATAATGTATCTAAAATCTATTTCTCTGCTATGATTTCTGACCTCTTTTTCATAAATTGGGTTAGTTAAATTAATTGACACATTCTAAGAGCACAGTGTTAATAAAATTATAGCTCTGCCATCTGATTTGATTTGTAAATAGTATCTTGTTAAATGTTATTGCATTGTATTTAATTTTAATTTTCTGACAATAAGAATTAAGTAAATTAAAACTACTTAAGTTTTTTATTCTTTTTTTCATAGCTAGGTGTCACATAAACCTGCCAGAATATTTTCATTACTGAACATCACACCTTGAGCCTCTCACCACATAATAGGAAATTTGCCATGAGAGTTATATTATGGTGCTATTTCCATTCATGCACTTTATAAATTTTTTCTCAGGGTATTATGCACAGAAATAATGTCTGCTTTTCTCTTCATACACATGACCTAATGTATAAAGTATGAATGATAATATTATCATACAAGAGAAGGGGTCACTAACCCCATGCTAATATTTTAGTCTCCTTTAACCCTTAAACAGTCCAAACATATATATACATTCACTTGCGCAGTGCCCCGAGTATTTTGAAAAAAAAAAAAATTTCATAGAAAAAAGGGCACATTTTTTTAAGAGTTTTAGAATAAAAAAAAAATTAGGGTCAGTACGTACAGAGATATGAGGCAGAGAAGTTGGCAGTGGATGCTCATGTGACGGCAACATAGAGTCCTGCTGCTTGCAGAAGTGTTGCTGATATACCCTTTTTTTTTTTCTCCTATTTTTCATATTATTTTATATAATTTTTATGTTCTGATAATTACAATTTAAAGTAGTTATTGTCATTTCATAACCAATCTTTGTTCTGACACTAGTATTAGGTATTGAAATTGTACTCACATTGTCACAAACACATTGACAGGTGCACATTTACACCTGCCTTGGTTTATATTTTTTTTCATTTGGGTTGTAAATTTTTAACCTTAAACAGTTTTTTTTTTTTGGAAGGGGTTTTTGGTAAGTTTTGCAATATTATTTTTTCACATACGATTTTAAAATATATTTTTTTTTATTTTTTTAATTTTTTCTTTGGAATTTTTCTTTTTCAAAAAAAAAAAATTTCCCCTATGTTTGCTTTTTTATAAATTTGGGTTTTTAAAATTTTTAAATTTCAAGTTTAAAAAATTTTACTTCCTTATTTTTTTAAATGACTTTAAAATTTTTTGATTTTTAATTTTAAGCAATAAAAAAGTAAATTAAAAAATTTTTTTTTTTTAAAACTTTTTTTTTTTTCTGGGTCCCCAATGGAAAAAAATTTATTAGAAAACACCTTTTAAATTAGGAAAAAAATTTTGGGGTTTTAAAGGGTATTTCCCAAGAATTTATAAATTTTTTTCCCAAAAACCCAAAAAATTTTCTTTTTCCCTTTTCCCCCCTAATTATATTTTAAGATAAATTTTTATTCGAAATACAAAGTAATTTTTTGTCTTTTAACCCTTGTAAAAATATTTTAAAATTTTGGATGCCCAATTTTAAAAAAAAAAAATTTTTTTAAAAAAGGGGGTTTTTTTTTGTTTTTAAAAAAAAAAAAATTAGGGGTCCTTTGTAAAAGATTTAAAAGGAGAGAAGTTGGAGGGAGAGGAGGAAAAGAGGGGGGGAGAAAGGGGGGAAAAAAAAAAAAAAAAAGGAAAAAAAAAGGGAAAAAAAGGAAAAAAAGGAGAAAGAAAGAAAAAAGGGGGGGGGAAAAAGGGAAGGGGGGAAAAAAAAAAAAGGAAAAAAAGGGGGGAAGGAAATAAAAGAAGAGAGGGAAGGAGGGAGGGGAAAGGGGAAAGGGGGGGGGGGAAAAAAGGGGGGGGGGAAAGGGGGGGAGGAGAGGAGGAGGAGAAGGAGGAGGGAGGGAAAAGGGGGAGGGGGGGGAGAAGGGGAAGGGAAGAGGAGGGAAGAAGGGGGGGGGAAAAAAGAAAGGGGGAAAGGGGGGGAGGGGGGAAAGGGGGGAGGAGAGGAAAAAGGGGAGGAGGAGGGGAGGGAGGGGGAAGGGGGGGAAAGGGGGGGGGGGAGGAAAGGGGGGGGAGGAGGGAAGGAAAAAAGGGGGAGGGAAAAGGGGGAGGAGGGGGGAGGGAAAGGGGAAAAGGAGGGAAGGAGGGGAGAAGGGGAAAAGGGGAGGAGGAGGAAGGGGGGGAAGGAGAAGGAGGGGGGGGGAAAAAGGGAAAAGAAAGGGGAAGGGGGAAAAAGGAAGGGGAGGAGAAGGAGGGGGAAAGGGAAAAAAAGGAGAAAGGGGGAGGAGGAGGAGAAGGGGGGAGGGAAGGGAAGGAGGGGGAAAGGGGGGAAGGGGGGGAGGAGGGAAAGGGGAAAGGGGGAGGAAAGGAGAAGGAAAAGGGAAAAGGAGAGGGGGGGAAAGGGGGAAGGGGAGAAAGGGGGGGGGAGGAGGGGGAGGGAAAGGGGGGGGAGGAGGGAAGGAGGGGAGGAGGAGAAGGGGAGGAAAGGGGGAAAAAGGGGGGGGAAAGGGGGAGGGAGGGGGGGGAGGGAAAAAGGGAGGAAAGGGGGAAGGGGAAGGAGGAGGAGAAGGAGAAGGGAAGGGAAGGGAAGGAGGGGGAGAAGGGGAGGAGGAGGAAGGGGAAAGGGGGGAAAAAGGAGGAGGAGAAAGGGGGAGGAGGAGGAGGAGGGAGAGGAGGAAGGGGAGGAGAAAAGAGGAGGAGGAGAAGGAGGAGGGAAGGGGGAAAAAAAGGGAGAAAGGGGAAAGGGGAGGAGAAGGGGGAGGAGGAGAAGGAGAAAGGGGGAGGGGAGGAGGGAAGGAGGGGAAAAAGGGGAGGAGGAGGAGGAGGAGAAAGGGGGGAGGGGGAGAAAAGGGGGGGGGGAAAAAGGGGGGAGGAGGAGAGGAGGGAGGAGAAGGGGAGGGAAGGGGGGAAGGGGAGAAGGAGGGGGGGGGGGAAGGAGAAGGGGGAGAGAAGGGGAGGAGGAGGAGAAAGGGGGGGGGAAAAAGGGGGGGGGAAAAGGGGAAAGGGGGGGGAGGAGGGGGAGGAAAAGGGGGGGGGGAGGGGGGAGGGGAGGAGGAGGAGGGGGAGGAAAAGGGAAAAGAAAGGGGAGGGGGGGGGGGGAGGGGGAAGGGGAGGGGGAAAAGGGGGGGGGGGGAAAAGGGGGAGGAGGGGAGGGGGAGGGGGGAAAAAGGGGGGGGGGGGGGGGGGGAAGGGGGGGGGAGGGGGGGGGAAAAAGGGGGGGGGAAAAGGGGGAAAAGGGGGGGGGGGGGGGGGGGGGGGGGGGGGGGGGGGGGGGGGGGGGGGGGGGGAAAAAAAAAAAAGGGGGAAAAAAAAAAAAGGGGGGGGGGGGGGGGGGGGGGGGGGGGGGGAAAAACGGGGGGGGGGGGGTGGGGGGGGAAAAAAAAAAAAGGGGGGGGGGGGGGGGGGGGGGGGGGGGGGGGGGGGGGGGGGGGGGAAAAAAAAAAAAAGGGGGGGGGGGGGGGGGAGGGGGGAAAAAAAAAAAGGGGGGGGGGGGGGGGGGGGGGGGGGGGGGGGGGGGGGGGGGGGGGGGGGGGGGGGGGGGGGGGGGGGGGGGGGGGGGGGGGGGGGGGGGGGAAAAAAAAAAAAAAAAAAAAAAAAAAAAAAAAAAAAAAGGGGGGGGGGGGGGGGGGGGGGGGGGGGGGGGGGGGGGGGGGGGGGGGGGGGGGGGGGGGGGGGGGGGGGGGGGGGGGGGGGGGGGGGGGGGGGGGGGGGGGGGGGGGGGGGGAAAAAAAAAAAAAAAAAAAAAAAAAAAAAGGGGGGGGGGGGGGGGGGGGGGGGGGGGGGGGGGGGGGGGGGGGGGGGGGGGGGGAAAAAAAAAAAAGGGGGGGGGGGGGAAAAAAAAAAAAAGGGGGGGGGGGGGGGGGGGGGGAAAAAAAGGGGGGGGGGGGGGGGGAAAGGGAAAAAAAAAAAAAGGGGGGGGGGGGGGGGGGGGGGGGGGGGGGGGGGGGGGGGGGGGGGGAAAAAAAAAAAAAAAAAAAAAAAAAAAAAAAAAAAAAAAAAAAAAAAAAAAAAAAAAAAAAATAAAAAAACAAAAAAAAAAAAAAGGGAAAAAAAAAAAAAAAAAAAAAAATTGGGGGAAAAAAAAAAAACTTTTTTTTTGGGGGTTTTTTTTATTCCAAAACAAAATTTTTCAGAATCCGCACCTTTTTTTAAACATTTCCCCGGGCCCCCCACCCCGGGCCGCGTTTTGGGCAATTTTTTTGATGTCACGATGCCCCCCAGTTTTTCTTTAAACATAGAAGGCGTTTTACTATGGTGATCCCATGCTTCAGCCCGAAAGGTGTTTTTATATTTGTGGGGGTTTTCTTTTGCAGGTGTTTTTCCCTTGGGTTTTGAATAATTTTCTGATGACAGACAAACAGAATTCGCCATATGGTGGTTTTTTTCTGGTTCCATATAATAAAAACATTGAGCATGGAAATGCCCCAGAAGATGGAAAAAGATTTAGTACCATTTAAAACTTTGGAACACAATCGAAAACCCCAACCTGCATGTTACATTTGCCCACTGAGGGATTTTTGGGGTGTAATCATCACAGCTGCGGGTTTTTGAATGGGTTCATTGCTGTCTCTATGCCCCTCCCCGTTTTTGTCATTTCGTTGGGGTTTAACTGATGACAACAGTGTGACATTCGTTTGCATGCCACCGAAATGCCATGATGTAATTGGGCAGCAAACGCCTGCCCTCACCTTCGAGGCCCAGGGTCAAACCCGGGGGCTATTTTTCGATTTGCACGCACTGTCCACACATCTGTCTGTTCACTCGAAAAAAAATCCGGTGAGGGGGCTTGTATCCCAGTTTCCGTTTTAATATAGCCCTTCAAGGTAGGGTTCTATCTTTTTTAAACCCACATCACCAAAAACCCAATAATTCCTTATTTTTCAATGTATAACTTCCAGTGTACACAAAATTTTCCAATACAAGACCACTGTAGAAATCACAAAGCACAACAACTTTATACCGCGTTTCCTCTTGCTTGGTAGTCTGTTGAAAAGAGTTTTCCCTTTTGAGAAAACAAAGACTCTAAATTACAAGTTTTCCTGAAGAGATAAAAATAATTTTGAATTTCTCTTTCAAATACACAACACATTCCTAATCTTATAAAAACCTGTCTTTTCTGTCAGGCCTGGTTTTGTTGAGAAGTGAAGCATACTAATAGTACACAAATCGATTCACTCGCATTATATCACTAAAACCCGGGGGTTGCAATCAGGCATCTGTTGACCATAGATTTCACAGTGCTTAAACATGTGGTAAGTTTATTAGGGCCCAAAAAAAGTACATTCACCCACAGTTGTCTCCTTCCGTTGTGATCGTGTTTTTGGTGAAAATATGGTTTTTGCCAGGTGGTACTTTTAGTATCTGTTGTTTTCCCTACAATTTCCCACCCAGGGGTTCGTCAAGGAAAACTCGAAAATTCCAGTTCCTGGCATTTTTCCCCCGTGTAAACATGCCGTATTCCACTTTGGTTTTCATCAAACTGGTGGGGTTTTGGAACAAAATTGGCGTTTCCCTGCCACCCCAGGGGCAGTTGTAGTGGGTATGGACTTTGACGGGGTGGTTGTGGTTTGGAGTTGGGGTTTTGGGGGTGGTGGGTGGGGGGTGGGGGATGGTGGCCTTTTTTTGTAGATCAGTGGGCACGGCGTGGGTGGCAGCATGGCCCACTGCTGGTGCCTCACGGCCGGCACCCACTACCACCACATGCACATTTCCACCCCAATTGCAACCTTTATCTTCATTTTCCCATGTTTTCCTTTTTTGTACAGCCAGGGATGTCCCCTTTTTCCCCCCCTTGGGAATAGCAAGGGCAACACCAGAGCGCAATATCGTCATATAATGACGCTTCACGGGAGAATATTCCATTCATACACTATGAAATGGTTTCAAGAGCTTTTGTTCATTTTCCCCTATCATATCATCCCAAATGCTCAATTGAGTCCGGGGATTTGGGAAAATAGGAGTTTCCTCTTTGTTTCGGGTACAACTAAAGTGAACAAGGGGCCCCAGACAAGGGGGAAAGGGCTGAGGGCTCTGGGTTTTCCCTCACTTTTACCGTATTATGGTCATTATTTTGGGTCAAAACCTACCAAAACCTTGAAACCATCTTCCTGACCCCCTCTGTATTAAAAATTCACGGGGGAACAAAAGTGCCCCAAATTTCCCTGAGGGGAGGAGCTTCTTACCGGAGGCATGGTGAAAAAGGGCCTACTAAAATGGCTTTCCCCAATGCACCCCTGGGCCCCAGATTTTTTTTCCCCACCATGACCACACACCCCCATTCTCTCCATTAGGCCTATCACCTTTTCCTGCGAGATTTGAAGGCGCTAGAATTTTGCGTACTGTACATAAAAAAACCCGGCGTAACCCGTACTAGTATGTCTGAAACCCCTGAAAGGGCTAAAGACTTTTGTTTCCGTATTTTCACCCTCATTTTATATCTTTTTTTCAACTAGGTATGTTCAAGCCATTTTTTTTTTTTTCATCTTTGTGAAATTAACCTTGAGGGGTTAATGTTCCCCTCAGCGGGTTGGGGTGTTGTTTTTGTTCCGTGTGTTTTGTGATTTGTTTAGAATGGCTTGGATTTTTTTTAGTTCTTGCTTTTCCCGGGGTTGGCATATCAATTTTTTCCCCTTGAACCCTGATGAATTGGCTACTTGGGTCTTGTATCTTCTATTACAAATCCGGGAAGGAGTTTCTCTTTGTTTGGGTATGGCCCCATGTTTCCGTTGTTTGGTAGGTTTTGTGGGGGCTCCCGGGGGAAGTGAGTGATGCCCCCTCCTGGCTGGGGTATAGATGCTGTGCCGTAGTAATTTCCCTCGTCGGGGTTGGTTTCGGATCTTTTTTGTTGACGTGCCCCCCCTGGCAAATTGGCAGTAGTTTAGTATTTTTTTAAATTGGGTGGATGGGGGAAGTTTTACTCTTGGAAAGTGAGGCGATGGGGGTGCAACAAGCAGTCTTCTTCGTTAGTATTTTGTCATTTTTGGGGTAGTTTCTTATTTGTTTATATCTTCTGGGTCTACTATGTTAGTGTTGTGTGCAATTTTGCTAGGCCATCACAGGGTTGTTAGGCTGCCTCAGTTGCTTGCAAAACATAGGAGGAAAGCCCTTGTTGTTGTGCGCCCCCACTTTTAATTGTCACGGGACAGTTAGCCACAGGAAATGTTGTATTAACTAAACTGAAAGTACTGGGTACAGTATGTAGATTGCCTTTTGGACTCTCAGTTCCATTACAGTGTATTTTTATTGTTCAATAAAAAAAAATATGGTAATGAACAAACTTCACCAAGTTTGCTCTTTTATATTTCTGTAGTGAGAGACAAGAGTTAATCAGGTTTTCATACATTGCATGAATGCAAAATTTTTATGCTTTCTTTATTGTTTTCTGGTAATTTAAAAATGCCTACTTCTTTTCAGTTTACAGTATTTTCATGAATATGCTAAAAATAACAAATAAAATATATTCCTTACAGCTTGGAGGTTCTACAAAGATGCAGATAGCAAGAGCTCCAGAAAGCTGTTTTTGTTTACACTTCTCCACTTGCCAGCAGTGATGGTGCTAATGATTATCAGCAAAAAATATTACAACAAAAATAAAAAATTGGAAACAGAGAAAACCCATAGTTCCACAATTAAAAAATTAGAAAATAACAGTAAAATTTCTGATGGTGTTATTAGCTGATATTTAATAAAGCTGAAGAACGATTATGTAAAAACAATGTTGCATTCCCTGGTAATTTATTCGGGTATTTCATTAGTTTGTCATATTTTTATGTAAGACTTTTAATTCAGTAAAAGTTTTCACTGTATTGAGTTTATCATTCTCTCCATTTTTTCCAAATAAAAGTATACCTTTTAAAATAAATACCTCAATGTAGACTAAAAAAAAAAATGTATGTTTATTTTAACCCTTTCAGGGTCCAGAGGCCAAATTTTAAAGTGTGCACCAGGGTCCAAAATTTAAAAAAAAAAAAATTTTTTTTTAGAAACGGTTTTTAGAAACTTTTTCTGAAGGTAAAAAACAAAAAAATACAAAATTTGATGGAAATTTTTGAAAATTTTGCTCTAGCGAATTTTTAGTTCGCGTATTTATAATCAGTGATTTTGCTACTTTGACTCCCCTTTTGGGGCCAATTCATTTTCCATCAACCCAAATTTTTTAGTTTTTCATAGTATTACTTCATTCCATCAATTAACACAATAAATCCCCAGTCAACTGTTTCAACTACAAAAAGGATGGAAATTTTTCAATTTGGCCCAAATTTAAAACAAAGTTCAAATATTCCCTTTCAAAAAAAGAGTCCGAATAAACAAAGAGACCCTTCCCGGCCTAAACTAAATTTCCTCTATTCATTAGTTAGTTTTGAGGCTTTTTAAAAGAAATTCCCTTTTTTTTTTTTTTCACATAATGATTTTTTTTCAAAACCCAAAAAATAGAAATTTTCTGTTTTCAAATTGTAAAATTGTATAAATATAACCACATTTGTGAATATATTTGACCCACCAGCTGGCATGTTTAGACGTATGGGTGTTTGTTTATCGAACATCGACAAAAATTTAACATTTCCCCTACTTTGAGCTCAGTTTTTAAACCATTTCCCGTGCTTTAAAAACCAAAAAAAAATCAAGTCTGTTTCCTAATATACTTCCCTTTATCAAATGAGACCAAAAATCACAAATACAACATAAAAACATACAAAAAAAAAACTGCAAAATCGCTGTTTTAAAAAAAAATCCGGTCTGAGTTTTTTTTAAATGTGTGCTGCAGGATTTTTTTGTGGTGCACACATACCACATGATGTATTTTCATATTTTGGGCCCAAATTTACACTCCCAAACTTTTCAGAGTGAGTGAAAAATCATGGCATAGTCTTGGTTTTACCCCGAACGTTTAAAAACCCTAGATCTACGGCATGGACCCAAAGGGTTAAAAACATGCATTTAAATATTGATACAAAAATCAAAAAATTGTACAGTGGAACCCCCGCATCCGCTGGGATCCATAACGTTTTTAAACCGCATCCAAAAATTTTTTTGCTAGATTTTGCCTCGCATACCGCTAAAAAAACCCGCCACGTATTCACCGAGATGTCTAATGTTTGGGGCCCGAGCCCGCCTCACATGTTCCGCCCGGGGGCATTTTTTACCGACAGCCTCCCCGGGAACATCCAAAGGTACTTTGGAACATTTCGTATTTTTAAGTGTTTTTGGTGATTTTATCTGCAAGTAAGGGACCATGGGGCCCAAAAAAAGCTTCTAGTGCCAAAACCCCACAGGAAAAGGGGAGAATTTTTAAGTGAAGAAAAGATCATGCTAAGTATGAAATAGAGTGCTGTCTCCGAGCTGGCCCGGGTTTTATGTAAACCCCAATTTAACCCTCGTCTTTGGTCCAAAAAAATGGCAATAAGGAAGCTGTTCTTACCAAAAGGTTTAACTGTGTTTCAAAAAAAGGATGCAAGTGGTAGAAGATGTTGAGAGACTTATTGGTGTGGAAATAAAAAAAAAGATAGCAGGAGATGCAACTCTCAAGTGATCATAAGTGAAAAGGCTAGGAAGTTGCATGAGGATTTTAAATTAAAAAAAAGCCCGCAACTAGTGAAAAGTGAGTGAATTTAAGGCCCCAAAGGTTTGGTTTGAGAGATTTAAGAAGCGTAGTGGATACATAGTGTGATAAGGCATGGGGAGGGGCCAGTTCGACCACAAAGCAGCTGAAAAATATGTGCGGAATTTAAGGAGACATAGACAGTAAGGACGAAACCTGAACAAGTGTTTAATTGTGTGAAACAGCCCGTTTTTTGGGAAAAAAATGCAACTGACCTACATTTCTCAGGGGAAAAAACACTCCCAGGAATAAGCCTATGAAAGCGGCTTTCTCTTCTCAGTTTCAATGCTAGTGGGGATTGCAAATTGAAGCCCTTTTTTAGTGTTCACTCGAAATCCCAAGTGTTTAGGCAAAAGAAAATCCTCAAGGCAAATTTGTGTGTTTTGGAGGGGAAACGTAAGGCATGGGTCATGGGGTTTTTTTATGACTGGTTTTCACCCAAACTTTGCCCCCAAAGTAAAAATTACCTAACTGAAAAGAAATTAGACCTTAAATGTCCTGGTGTTAGACAATCCCTGGGCTCCTACAGATGTGGCAGACGACTTTGTGGGGCTGAGCTCATTAAGGTGAAGTTTTTGCCTCCTAATACCCTCCTCTCCTGCAGCCCTGGACCAGCAGGGTTTTTGCAAAATTCAAAAAAAAGTACCAAAAACTGTTTGAAAAAGGGGCTTTGTAGTGACCTCAGAAAATCAAATTGACTTAAAAAGTTTTGGGAAAAAAGCACTTTAATATCCCCAGTTTTGTAAACCTTATGGTAAGGCTTGGGAGGGAGTGACTAGAGGACCTTGAACTCTCTTAAGAAACGTGGCCAGAATGTGTAGACCAAAGGGGTTTTAAGGGTTTTTTGGCTAACCCCGGGAATCCTATGCCAGTTTAGGGAAACCATTGTGGGATTGGGGAATCCTTGGGGTTGGGGTTTGTGGGGGGGATTGGGAGTTGGTGGAGGAGGGCAGTGAAAACTAACCACTGTGAGCTGCTAGATATCTTCACCGAGGCCACCACACGAGGAAAAAATGCTCGAAAGGGGGGGATAGAGAAATTGAAAAGTTGGCCCCTTCAAAGATTAAGGAAATGTGTCAATGTGGCTTAAAAGTGCAAACCTTTTTTTATGAAACACCCTAACACAGCTATTGCAAGCCGTGCTGGTGACTATTTTCATGACAATGTTGTGAAACCCCTTTAGGAAAGTCAAAGGAAGGGAGGGCAGGCCCCTATGGGCAGATATTTGTGCGACGAAGTCCAGTGACTCTGAAATGGTCTAGTGCATTTTAAAAAAGAAGGGGAAATAACCCCCGAAAAGGACTTGACACCTCAAGTCTTAATGGAGAGGATTCCCCTTCTAACACTAAGACTTCTCCTCCTCCCCTCCATCAATATCACCAATCTTCAATAAAAAGGGAAATGCATGAAAATTGCATGTCTTTTTTAGTTTGTGTTATTAAAAAATTAATATTTCATGTGGTAAAAATTTTTTTTTTTTCATACTTTGGGGTGTCTTGCACGATTAATTTGATTTCCCTTATTTTTTTTGGGGGAAATTCTCCCATAACGATTTAAATTTTGAATAACAATGAGCTTGGACGGATTAAAATCTTATTTCGGGGGGCCCTTTATATGGATGTGTATTGTGATTCCTCATTTAACCCTAAACGGTCCAAGGGAGATCTTGTTCACATGCGTAGTGCTCCAAAAGTAGATTACTTTTTTTTTTTCATATTTTTAAATTTTTAAAAAAAGAAACAAAAGTAACAAATTTTTTTTAATGTTTTAAATGTAAAAAAAAAAAAAAAAACTACTTTTTTTTTACTACTTTAACATGTTTAAAAAAATATATCGTTTGGACCGTTTACGGGTTTTTAAATAAACCCCTCATTAGACTGCGTGGGGCGCAAAAATATGGCTTTATTTTCTAAATGTAATAATTTTAATTGGATCAATTGAATCATTATGTCTGCACAAAGGGTTAACCCTTTCAGGGTCGAGAGGCCCTCTCCTAAACTTGTTCTCAAGGTCGAAAATTTTTTGGAAAAACTAAATTATTTTTTCTTATTAAAAGATAAGAGAATCTTTTCCCGATCATAATGACACCAAAATTATGAAATTTGATGGAAGACTTACGGAATTATGCTCTCGCAAAGTTAGCGATGATGTTTACGCATCAGCGATTTTAGCCACTTTGAGTCCTATTTTCGGCCAATTCCAGTGTACTAGTCGACAAAAATCATAACTATTTCGCTAGAACTCCATTTTTTTCTATCGAATGAGTACAAGAAACCATCCATTTACCCATTTCAACTATCCAATAAAGTGGTCAGAAATTAGCAATTTTGCCAATTTCACACAAATTTCAAAAGATGCCAATTTCCAAATAGGGTCCAAAATAAATGAGACAGACATTTCTGGCACTAAAATAACATTTCCTCTGTTCATTAGTCACATCCCCAGGCCCCTCTTACATTTCTTTTGCTTTCCACTTTGAATTTTTATTCTCACAAAAAAATAGAAGATTTACTGTTATGCAGACAACTGCATTAGTATAGAAATGGTATAAATAATATCAGGGCACTTGTGAAGGAATATTAGACTCGCCAGTTGAATATATTGGACATGTGGCATGATTTGTTTACTTTAGAACTTAGGTAAAAATCGAACATTTCTGCTACTTTGAGCTCAATTTCAAGGTACTTTTCATTGTGAAACCAATCAAAATCATCTCAATTTCTGTAATATGTCTTCCATTTTATAAAATGACACCAGGAAAACTAGAATACAACCATAAATACCATACAAAAATACACTGCAAAGTCGCTGTTTTAAACCAAAAAAATGGTCAAAGTTTTTCTCTCATTACGCACTGTGTGCTGCAGGATTTTTTTATACTGTGCACACTGACCACATAGACCCATTACATCATATGTAGGCCTACCAGCTTTCTCTTGCTAGATTTGAAGGCCCTAGAATTTAGGAGTACTAGTACGTCAATAACCCTGGTGCGTAAGCCGTACTAGTACGTCGGAAACCCTGAAAGGGTTAAATATCTGTCATTCCAGACAGATATTTAACCCTTTCAGTGACCATCACACGGAACTACGTCACTGAGGCCAGGGTCCCCTC